AAGATTGCAAATGAGTAAAATCTCTTAGTTCAAAGGTGGCATGAGAGTAATATTAAAGGAGGAAGGAACAAATAAAAAACTATAATTAGAAGAGAAAACAGCAAGGTTTGTAGACATTAGACTCACAACTATATCCAGTGCATATTCCAGAAACTAGTAAAGCTGTGCAGTTTCTCATGGTCTTAGAATCCAGGTCTGTGATGATTGCTGAGGTACAATGGCCTTATTGTGGTGAGAGAACATCTAATTCTTCATCTCACCTTAGCTAATGTGACAAGGTTTTTTTCCTTCTTGTAAATGTACACATATACACAACAAACCCAACAATAACAACAAAGACAGATAGATACTATTCACATAATTATTTAATGTATCACATATGAAAATAGTATGACAGAGGATTTGTGTTCTTTCGAGGAAATAAACTTAGAAAATATTTAGCATTTGAACCTGTTAGAGGATATTTTGGTAAGAATATATTCGTTCCTTCTTTCATGGTAGCACAAGTCTGGAAGATAAATCTATTTTCCATTTCTCTTTTGGAATTTTTGAGGTCATCGATGCAACTTCTTTTCTCCCAGAGCAAATCTTTTCCACGAGATGCACAAAAGGTCATGCCCCTAAGTCTATGCTTAGAAAGGAAAATAGCATTACCCACGTGAACATAATTGTAAACAGAGGAAATTGCTAAGCTAATGTACGGTATGCCTCTGTCATAGCTCATGTTTGCCTCAGTTTCTGCATTTCCTCCTGTTGATTTTGGTCCTTACTTCAGATTAATCTTTTCAAAATCCAGTGGAACCCAAAGCCACCCCTCGGCAGGCTGGAACTCGGGAGGGTGTGGCCTCTGCAATCACAAAGCTGGTGGAGCCCAAGTAAAGTCTCATCAGTCTGCTCTTTTCCTCTCTGTGATCCGTCCCTGCGTCCCTTCCTCTTCACAAGAAACTGGAAACCATTATTGAGAGCCAGTTTCTGGTTTTACGCAGTGAGCACCAAGAGGACCAGGAAAGGGTTCATTTCCTGATGACCTTCAACCAAAAGACAGATGCAAATATAAATGAAGAAACAGAGCAGAGAACAGGTTTCTGCTGTTTACCTGAGTAAAGGATAAAGAATAAGCAGGCCGGCCAGATATCTCAGCAGACTAGAGTGCCTGCTTAGGCAGAGTACAGCAGTGAGTCTTCCATGCCCGGCGAGCTATGCCACCTCACCCCCAGAGTCCACTAATTCGGTGATTGAGACTGGGTGTGGTGCATGCCTGTAATCCCAGTGCTTGGGAGGCTAAAAACAGGAGCATCACTATGAGTCCAATCTGTGTAATGAGACCCTGTAGACTGTGTCTACAGATACCTTTAAAAAAAATTAAGCAATGAAAGTACTAAAGTATTTCAGAAATATCCCTTGGAAGTTGTCACATAGATAAGCACCTCTCCAAATGGTATATCCCTATGAACAATTGGGGATTTCACCAAATTTCAAATTTGCAAGTGATCAATCGGCAGAATATGTTTCAACCTTGCTGAGCCCCTCCAAGATGTTATCTGTCTGTGACAAACAAAAGAATTTTTGAGAGACAAACAGAAGAATTTCTCTAGAGCATTCAAGACATAGGATGTTAAACAGCATCATCAAAATTTTTAAAAAAGTAAAACCATTTGAGTCTCACTGATAGAATTATGTTTTATTGAAAAGTGGAGGCAGTGACACCGTCCCAATGCAATTTCTTCTGAGGACATTCTTCAAGGCCTGATTTATATCTCTGTTCCTCAGACTGTAGATTAATGGATTAACCATTGGACTGACAAAAGTGTAGAAGACAGCTATTATTTTGGACTGTTCAACAGTCTCATCTGTCGGTGGCCTCACATACATGCAGAAGAGCGTCCCGTAAAACAAAGTGACCGCCGCCATGTGGGAGCCACAGGTGGAGAAGGCCTTGAGCCTGCCCTCCGCAGACCTGATCCTGAGGATGGAGGCAATGATGCAGGCGTAGGACACCAGGATGATGCTGAGGGAGGTGGACAGGTTGAAGCCCGCTGAGATGAGCATGGCGTGCTCTTTGATGTGAGTGTCAGAGCAAGCGAGCTTAATGAGGGGAGGGTCCGCGCAGTAGAAGTGGTTGATAACATTGGACCTGCAGAAGGTCAGGCGGAAGGTGAGGATGGCCTGGAACAGGCCGTCTGAGAAGCCATAGGCATAGGGCAGAGCCGCTAGGCTGATGCAGACGCGCCGCGACATTTTCACACTGTAGCGCAGAGGGTCGCAGATGGCCACGTAGCGGTCATAGGCCATTACAGCCAGCATGTATAGCTCCGTGAGGAGAAGAGCAATGAAAATATAACACTGTGTGAAGCAGCCGGCAAAGGAAATGGTCTTCGTGTGGGATAAGAAGTGGGCCAGCATCTGCGGGGTGGCATTGCAGGCGTAGCACGCGTCCACCAGGGCCAGGTGGGAGACGAAGAAGTACATGGGCGTGTGGAGGCGGGAGTCCAGTCTGACCAGCGTGGCCATGCCCAGGTTGACTAACACGGTGATGAGGTAAGCAAGCAGGAAGAGCGCAAAGAGCCAGGGCTCGAGCTCCGGGCGGTCCGTGAGCCCCAGGAGGACGAAGTCCGTGAACACGCTGCCATTGGCCATGGATGCTTCCTGAGAGCCAAGCTCTCCTGGAGGAACTGGGGAGGCCAGGTCGACCTGAGGCTACAAACCATGGAAATGAGCGCGGATGTTGTTTTCTTCCTAAAATGTAGGTCCGCAATGAACTTTTCTGTAATTTGATTTTGTGTTTCTATGAAATTGTGATTTGAATTCTTTTTTAAATTAAGTTTCCATTGTGTTTCTATCGGTGTACTCATACCTGTGAACACAGCAGTGCCTGTATCTATTTCCATATCCATGAGTAAAACTGAGCTCAAGCTACTCTCGTTGTCCTGTGTTTCTCAACATGCTTATCCTACAAGGATCACCTTGAAAGCCAAAGTTTGGTGATAGAATTGTCACTCTATTCCCCACATATATAACACTAATTTAACGTCTTTTTACACTACAGTCCCAATGTACAGAATAATCTGCCGCTGATATATTCTTAGAACATTTCATCACAGTAATGTTTGTTACTTTTTAGTTCCCCTATATTTGGTATTGAAGGATGGGACAAAATCCATTTTATTATTTTGCCACAGCTGCTCATTTGACACACAGACTTTTCAAAAGGAGACCATGGGAGCATCCATGGCTGAGTAGCTACTAGCAGTGTGTAGCACGGCCGCATGACTCAGAGCTTTTCACGATGCAATGTACTAAGAACAAATGAATCATTTTTGAAACTCTGTGTATGAACCAATCTCGGGGGAGCTTATTGCTGAAGCATATTTACAGATACTTTATTATAGAATGTCCTATTTATGTTCCTAGGTGCTTCATATTTAATATTTATCCAGAGAATCTTTTTTAAATGTATTTGGTACAGGAACTTACTATGCAGATCAGACTCATAGTGATTCTCCTGTACTTTAATGCAAGTCTTTACAGACCAATCTGGGAAAGATATTGGCAGAACCTTTAAAAGCAGCTGCAGGTGTAACGCAGCAGCCGTGTTTGTCTCACGTGGATGAGGACCTAAGGCTCGATACATGGCACGGGGG